ATCCAAACTTTTGCAATACTTATTCGATATTATTAAATAACATCTAGGTGACAAAAACTAAAATACTTAGCGGCAAAGTGAAAAAGAATAAAGCGACATTGTTTTAAACATTTTTAAAATTAAAAAAAAGTTATTAGGTTTGTCAAATATTGTTATAACCTACCCTATTCACCATAATAAGAACATAACATTTGTATTATGCGATATTTATAGTTAATTGCGGTTGCTGGCTATCCGATAGCCTGCAGTGAATATAACTAATTGTTAATAATTCCGAAATATTGATTCCTAAGTTTTTTATAATAATACTTTTGGTATATAAACAAGTTAAATATGTATTGATAATTAAAAAATTAAGTAGATAGCCTGCAATTTCTCTTATAACTTTATTCGTATTCCCGTTGCCATTTAAATGTTTTTTAATAATATCTAAATCGTAAAGTGTATTCAACCTTGGAGATTTTATTTTTGTACTGATAGACACAAAAAGTGCCAGTACTTAGAAGATTTTAATAATTCTTAAAATTAGTAAATACTTAATATGTATTTATAATATGGCTCGATAAAGTATAATGAAGTATTTTGACTGCAGTGAATTTTAAAATAAATTTATAGTTATAATAAATTTTCAATTTATTAAATAAATATATAATAGTCCAATAAGCACGTGTGCTTTGCACCCATAGGATCTGCTTTTGAAATATATGATAATTATTTTGTATATTTTTGTAGCTACTAAAACAATTTTCATAATTAAAACATGTTCTAACTGTCGACAAGCTTTGAAGAGAGAACTTAGACTGAAATTATTTTGGCAAATGCTCAAAAATCTTAAATTTCTAGTTGTTTATCGAATTTATTCTAAAAAAATATCTTATTACTCTTTCTAACTGAATGTATTTAAATAGATACACCAGTTTCACCACTTGTGAAATATATTGTAAAAGATATTTAAAAAGAACAATTATAAAGATATATTTAATAATTTATTAAAACTTAATTGATGATCCTATATCCATGATTATTTCCAGAAATTGTTAGTCCTTAATTAAAAATATAATTTGTCAGGTATTACATAAAAGTATAAGTCCTCTATTAAATATCAATAATGCAGTTTAAAACGTTTCACTATCATTTATTAACATCACAAGAAAACTCAATTTGAATAAAACTTAATTATATCTATAAAATCTACAATAATCACACTAATTAGTTTCTATAATTTTAGTACATCACTTAAATAATGAATAACGTATAAAATTATTATATATTATTATTATTACTAATAATATTACTATGAAGTAAATATCTAAAATTTTAAAAATGGTTTATCACTGCGGTATGAAAAATAACAAATGTGGGCCATTCTACTGGCCTATACTGCAGTATTATATTTTTAGATTTTTTCACTTTCTTGCTCTATTCTGTGTAATATTTATTAAAATCTATTTTGAGATTTCTATGTATAATATTTGTAGTATAATCTTGTTAGCGTGTTGTTTATGTCATACAGTGCACGCTTCTTCGAAATATTTTTGAATAGCTAATAAAACAAATATATATTGTTGATAAAAATATAAATGCCAATATTTCTATGTAAATATTTGAAATGTGCTCATCAACTAATAGAAGAATCCATGGGGTTCATTAGGTCCGGATTCCCCATGAAATTAAATTATGGTAGAATAAGTTTTGAAAAAGTTTACGTTCAAAAAACTATCCGACCCCTCTCCTACAAAATTTCTAAATAAGACCCTAAGAATTGAAGATAATTAAGTCAACAAAATTCTTGTTAAGCTATTAAAATCAAATTAATTATTTGACGTCTATTCAAACTAGCTTGGAAATTTTGTAGCCAAAAAGATAATAAAATAATAAATTAATTAAATTTATACATTTATAATAACAATTAAAATATATTATTTACTGTTATTTATTTAATATTACTAAATGCAATTAATATTAATTATTTAACAAAAATTGTAATTTGAAGAAAAATTTAATATTTTTTGATTTTAGTTTATACAATTATATTACTACAATGATAATTAGAACTAAATTTTTGACATGGCCTCTGGGGACTGACAGCCGGTCATCGAAAGTGTACCGAAGACCTGTGAAATAAAGAAGTAAAGTACAGAATAAGAACCGGTGAAAGGCGTCGTAGAGACAAACATTAGTTAATGGGTTCCCTAGGGAATCGTGCACTTATGATTCCTATATACTTCTACAGAATGATTCTTTTAACGCTAGCCAAAATATTTAAATGGGAGTTATAGTAACTATATGATTATTATAACTCCTACTTAAATTTTTGGCTAACGTTAAAAGAATCACTCTGTTTATAAATTGATAACGTAATATGCTGCTGAAGGAAATACGGAACTGTGTCATTTTTATTGGGGGAGTGTTGTATCCAATTAACTTATCACAAAATGTAATAAATCAACAAAATTCTGAAGTTGCAAAACTAATTTTCAGGTATTTTATGTTTATAAGTTTATGACTTAAGTTTCAGCTTCTTAGTTACGTCTTAGTTTGATTATTTTTATATTGCAAATAATTGGTGACCATACGTGCATTTCTACGGAGGCGAAAAAGCACCATGTTCAAAGTGTAGAAGGTAACGGGAAAACACTGCACTTAAATTTCCCCAGGATATACCAATCCAGTTGGTATTAACCAACTTAACGGTTGTACATAAAAACAAATAAGATAAAACCAGACGATTTAAAGATATTTTTAAGAGTAAAATAAAATTTTTCTGATGATTTGGGAGTATGAAAATATTTTAATGTTATCGTATATTCAACAATATGGTATCATTGAAAATTACAATATTTGTCACTGAAAATGTTTAAAATTATTATATGAGCTTGTAAAATTAATTAATTTCGTATAATTTCATCAATATTTAATATATCAGAAAAAATAAATCATTTAACATATAGTCTAACTGTTATATTATATGTTAAATGTTTTCTTAATGTTAGACTCTAACATTAAGAAAACTTTACATAGAATTACCTTCTTCAGTACCTTATTATTTATATCGTTTTATTATTGATTTTACTATAGAAATTAATGACGTAGTAAGGATTTCTTAACTATGCAATATAAATTATGATTAGATATTATAAAAAGCATACAATGCCTGGTGTTGTATGGACAGTATGATAGAACTATTTTCAAAATTTGTGACACAAAAATTACTCTTAATTATATTAAAATATTTTTGTAAAATATCAATAGAAAATTTTATATTTGAATAATAAAAATTTATAATCTTTTCACTGTCAAAAAAAAAAATGATTACAAAAATGTTTAATCTCTACTTATCCATCTTGATCTGAAATGGTTTAATTAATCTCATAAATAACTTAATTAGCATAATATGCTCCCTTTTCTGAAAAAAATTAATTGATCGACATCATGATTTGGATTGAGACCTTTTATATTTGTAAGATATAGTATATAATTTTGTGTGTTATTTTATAATAATAATAAGATTAGTTTTAGTTGCAGTATAAATTTAAAGGTACATTGATGAAAATGGTATTTATATTATTTTTTTTCCTACTATCAGTTTAAAACTTATTTTAATGTTTAACATTTTTTTGACACAATAGTTATAAATAAGTAAATGTGAATATCATTTATCAGTTAAATATTTCATATTTATCATTTAAAATATAACACAATACAACTGTTGTTTGTGATTTTCTAAAACGTTTGGTTATTATTTAACGCTCAATAAAAATGATTTGACAAACTATTTTTCACGCATTTCAAATGCAAATATGATCACATGAAAATACTTGAAATACATAAAAATAATTAAGCAGGTGTTAATATCCTTTAAATTTGTTGTATTTTAAAAAAGTCATGTTATATTTTCCTACACTTATTTATACTAAGAACTGGGTATAATTTTTCAAAAAATTGTGTTCTATAATGAAAATATGTGATTTGTACCATATATATGCTAATATTTTTTATATTTAATATTTAATATATTTTTTTTTAATTTCATTATGTTNATATTTTTTATATTTAATATTTAATATATTTTTTTTTAATTTCATTATGTTATTTAAATAGAATGTCTACAAGTGGGAATTGGACCAAAACCAATATGGTCAGAGTGAACATAAAAATAAAGATGACTAATAATATTTACACTTATTTAGGGCGTGGACACTGTCCAAAACACCTTAAAATAACAAAAAGAACTATGTACAATTACACCACTAATTAAAATTGATCATATTTTTGTAATTTATCCATCAAGCGTCTAAATAATAATGACTGCGTCTACCATCTACTTATTGTTCGAATAGAATATTAAAGGGCATTTATTTCGTCGATGACGGTTTTTATTTTTAAGTTTAATGCTCAAGCAAATCTTATACCAAGCTAACGGAGTAGGTTTCGAAAAAATATAAGTCTAAAATAAAACATAAAACATTTACATGCTAATTAAAGGTCATCAAACAATAAAATATATGCATTAATTATTAAAAAGAAAATAAAAAAGTTGTTTTCATTGCTTTTGAACATAATATTAAATTTTGTTTAATCATTTGAATGTTTCAAAATATTATTAAAATATAAAAAAATGATTTAAAAGAACTTTAATTAATTTAATATATAAAAAGGTATTAACAAACAAACTCAACCTAACAAGGTTTTAAGGACATTCAATCAGATTAATTATACTCAAAACAGAAAGAAAGAGGTTGGGATTAATTTAAGTCGCAATCAAATGGTGTGAATATTTACCCTTTTAAATGTGTATGCATATCCAAAATATTTCACTGATTGTTAAATACTAATATCAAAAAGAAGTTTTTCAAAGTAATAGAAACCGATGAAAAATGTAATATTTTTTATTTTGTGATAAAAAATGTATTCTATATTACTTGATAACCAAGTTAATTAATGATATATTAATTTTGTTAAAAAAAAAGTATTAAATTAAAATTCTAATGGAATTTTACCTTCGAATAAGCTGCTCCATTTTACAAAAAAATAAAAATCACTAAACACAGCACATGACCACAACTCGGCGAGCACTAACGGCAGTCCATTGTACGGTCCATCCTCAAGGGATATATTTAGCATGTAAATCTATAGAGAGAAATGTGATGCGGCCACAAATATAAAAAAAAAGAACGGGCACATAATCCTGACGTCAGAGGTATTTTATGAATAGCAAAGATGACAAGAATTTGGATTTGACACTCTAATAAATAATGTCTTTTTAATCCAATAATCAATTCTATGATTATAATATGGGTCAATTTATTAATATATTTTATATTATATAGATAAATCAAACGAGCCAAAATTATACAAGCGCAATGACCAACCAATATAAACAAAAGTATTTGATAGACAGATTTTGGATAGTGAACAAGAAATAATTAATCAACAATTTTACATCAATGAAAATACTACAAATGATACTACCAACGCCAAATAACGAAAATATAATAGTTTTATCGTTTAATTCTTCTTCAACTAGTATCATGTGCTCATATGATGCAATACTCTACTGTTGGCTAAAGAATCAATAATTAAATATATTAAGTATAGTTATGTGTAGTTCATCGATACGAACTTAAGTTATGATTTTTTAACATTAATTAAAATTTATTTAATTAAAAATTTTAATTTTATGAGTTTATAAGTAATTGCCTATAAATCAAGCACTGAAACTCTTCGATATTTTGCGATTTCGTTTTAGAGTAATGTTGTAAGCTTGAAAAATTTCAATTGAACATTTTTTTTTTCAGAAAATATTCAAGGGTGGTTGAAAATTTAAAATTTATGAGTTTAAGTTTTTATATAAAACATTTAAAATCTAGTATTGTTTAATATTATATTACTGTATCATAAGTGTTTAAACTGATATATATCACGATTTTATAGTTGATAATAATCAGTTATCAGACTTATTTTTAAAATTAAATTATAATTAATATTAAACTTTTACTTTTTCAAATAAGTTAAGGTAAAGAGAGATAAGTTAAAAATCAGGAAATACGACAATTTCTGTAATTCATAAAATCAATCACATATAACAATACATCCTTACTAGTATAAAAGTCACTTGTGGTAAATTTTGTTACTCACTAAACGCACGTAAATGCGCGTTAATTTTGGATGTGGGTTCATATACAAAATGTTTTGATGTAATTTTTGAACAAAAAAATATATTGGTATTAGTAACTAAGAAAAACGTTTTTCTCTCAAATATTCTAAAAGTAATACTTAGTATCTATAAATTATTAAGATATCCTTTTCATTATTATATTATATTAATATAATTATATTTATTATATAGATATATTATATTTTGATTATAGTTATTGTGACCTCCTCTATTTCCTATATTTCTGGTTGTGGTAGCGATAATTTTTTCTTTTGAATGAAACTTTATTTAACTATCGCCGACAGTACCACGGTGACCCGCAATAATTTTGTAGGAGACAACCAATTTTTTGAGTTCTAAATCACATGAAGTATTTACAAAAGCCACTTTAAATTTTCACTTTAAATCATCTCCCAGGCATTTCTACACTTGACTATGATTTCATTCTATGGTTCCGGCCATTCATCATCATTTTAGTTAAGCCACTCTGGTTCGTTTCACCATAATTTAATCTTCTTTAGTTGTGTTAGATCACATCCACGCAAAAAACAGGATTGTCGCTCTTTTTAATATGGTACTACTCGCTTGTAGTTGTTATAGTGTGAATTTCGCCGACCTTGTTCGCTACGAATGTCTTCCAAGTACATAATTCGCTATCTATCCTCGCTAAAACAATTGTCAAATCAGACGGGAAATATCTTCAATATTTTGTAATGTTTAACTTCAGCAAAAGGTTTTTGACTAGACGACAAATTAGTACACCGGCACACAATTCGAGTCTAGCAAATGTAACTACTTCTAGAGACACGACTTTAAATATTGTCATTACTAGCCGCGTACTACTGACCTCTCCAGAATAATCCACTATTCATATATACAAACAACATCCGTACACGTTGTTTGAAGCATCAGCATACCCGTGTACTTGAATGGATCATACTTTATCGCAGCCTACTATCTGATACATGGATATTTTCGACTTGCTTCAATGTTTGTTTATATCCTGACCATTCCACCACAATTTCCTCGGGCAGTTTATTATCCCAACCGCATTTACAGTCCAACGCAAAAAGATAAAGGCACACCATTTAATCAAATAAAATTCTATATTTATACATTTATGGATTCTATGTACTACCAAACTTTAGATTATACCCAAATGGATAGCAATCTTATATTATTTCTTGATCATAAATTAATAAATGAAGTCTTATCGATGAATTTATTAGATTTTGTTGCGACAAAATTATAAAGGCAAATAATTATCTATAAACAAACGATTTTATATTACAAAATTTATTACGTTTATTAATTTTTTTATTATATTAATATTTAGTTGAACCTCCATTAGTACGAATAGTTGCAAAAATTCTACTTGTAATGATGTCATAAAGTTTTTTATGATGTCTAGGGAAATTAGTGTCCAAGCATCTAAAATCGATTTTTTTAACTCACGAACTGAAAAATATTGTTTGGCATCTTTATAAACTTCATTGGCGAGTAACCCCCAAACATTTTCAATAATATTTAGATCTGGAGATCGTGCAGGCCATTCTAATATTGGTATAGAATTTTTTTCAAACCATAATTTTATGATTCGAGCAATATGAATTGGCGCATTATCCTGCTGAAATATAAAATTTCTTTGTTAAGAAAATCTTTATACTTCAAAGCATTTATTCTACCATCTAAAAAACAACTTCACTTCGTCTTTTATAACCAATTGCACACCAAATCATTGCAGATCCTCCTCCCACTTGACGTTTTGACATTATACGTTTATCTTTTCTTAAATCATGATAGTAATACGAAAAACAACAAGTCCAACCAAGTTAAATTCTTTTTATTTGAAAAAATTACTTTTCTCTATTTTTTTGACCAATTTGTTTTGTTTCTTGAAAAGTCTAATCTAGCTTGTTTATTACGTTCATTTAATGGTGATTTCCTTATTAGTTTTTTTCGGATGAATGTCGATGTGCTTTTTAATAGCCTTTGTACGTTACGAATATCAGTTTTCACACCACATGGATTGAGAATACCACATGTAGACAAAGCAGAATTCTATGCAACTCTTAACCCTTAAACAGTCGCGTGGGGGTCTAGCATACCCCCACATAAATAAAAACGGATGTATTATATTGCATAAAAGGTGTACATTGATATAAATTTAGAAGATGGTTTTTATAGTAATATTGAATAGATTTTCATAAATAAATACCTTTGAAAAAAAAATGTATGACTTAAAATATCCATCAAAGTTGAAATGGGTCATATTGACCCCAACGCGACTATGAACGTTATAATTTTTTTTTGAATTTGTATTTTTTTCAAAATATCATTTTATTGTAAATGCAATTATATAATCGATATAATATTGTGGAATTGGGATTATGTGGGTCTGCCACCGTCTGTGCAATTAAGTTTTAAAAATAAATAATCTTTTGAGAATTTCCACTACTCGATGATACGGAACAAATACGAACTAAACATGTAATAAATACATCCCGTCGCAATGTGGACACATTGATTATCGGTGCCTCATTTACAATTACCACTATTCACATTTACCCCTCCTGACCCTACTCGTATTATAATAATTAAATTGTATTGTAATATTAATAATAAAAAAATTCAATTCAGAAAAATGATTATGTAAATGTAAATACACATAAAACCATTAAATATAAGGCATGTTTGAGCTCAAAGAAATACAAGAAAAATTAATAAAAATACATTTTGTAATAGTAAAAGCTTTTATTTACCGTCTTAAAAATAAGATTTTGCAGTTAAAATAATTTTTTTACAAACCAAAATTTTTTAATGAAATTTTGAAAATTAAGTTTTTTTTTTTTGTAATATAATTTTTAGTAATGCACATAATTTTGTCATTTATTTATTTTTTAATTTTAATTTTTTAATTGTTATCCATATTTATATATCATATGGTAACAAATAATGTCTTTGAATTAAAAAAAATGAACTTTTTTATACATATTTTATACTTTTTTAGAAATGGGGTCTAATAGACCCCCACGCGACTATGAACGTTAAAAATAGGTACGCGCCTGCTTAAGAGTTAATATTGCTCTTTTCTCACGATCAGTTAATACTTGCAATCGACCTGTAGACTTCTTGAAATTATAGTTTTGGCCAAGTTTTACAAAATTATCTATCACTGTAGATATGTTTTATAATATTTTGTCGTTAAGCCATATTGATCCAATAAAAGCAAGTAATTTTGTATAAGGTCACAAAAAAAAAAAAAAAAAGAAGCAGAGCTAAACCAAAATACTTTTCCACTACGCGTAGAAGCTAAAACAAAACATAAAAACTCGTGTTTTATTACCTACCGCTAGAATAATTCTTTGTATATTTACATGTATTTGAACAATTAATATATTAAAAAATATGAGATTATATTATAAATTCAAAAGCCATTTGCTATAAAAAAAACGGTAGCACAATGGGTTGCGTCACAGTATGGGATGCTACTACTATAGCATAGTTAGGACAAGTATAGATGATACCTGACAGTGATTAAAAACATTTCGATGCAAACATGTAGTTATACTATTTACATAAGATTTACTTTAAGATTTATATAAAAGTGTCAGTATTTCTGGAATATTTTCAAAAATAAAGTTCATTTTTTCTAGAAAAATGTTGAAACTCCCTGTGGGCAGATAAAGGGCCAAATTATCGCAAAAATAAATCAAATGATAGGTAAATATCTAAGGTATGTATAAAAAAAATGCATAACAATTATAATTTTTTAATTCTCATAAAATTAAGTTAAACTTAAAGTTATAGTAACAAATTCAACAATTGTTAATTATAAACTTTCAAAAATTAACTTTAAAAAACCAAAAAAATAGGATAAAAGTGATATTTTACAATAATGATTTTTAATATATTAAAAATCAAAATCAGAAATAAATTTTTTTTTTTTTACTTATATGTAAATAATTTTTTTTTACTAATTAA